AAGCTTGAAATTTGCTCAATTTTTGGTGTCTCCATGGCTGCATACCTGTCTGTATAGGATATCTTCTGTCAGTCTCATTAAAGTGTAGAAAATAGTGAAGAAAAATGATATAAATGAAAGTATGTTTATAAACGGTAATTCCAGAAACTAGGGGTCCAAACGTGTGACAAGTTCGTGTCCCTGTTACATCTGATCTTTGTTAATTGACATGGAAATATCGCCGGAATTGATTTCAGACTATTACTATTTGTTTGACAGGTAATTTGCGTTTATTCATCACAATTGGAAATTAGAAAATGTTCTGAACTTACAAAATCATATGTCAGATGTGACCGGGACGCAAAAAAAATGGACCCCTAATTTCTGGAATTACCCTATTAGGGTAATTCCTATTAGGGTAATTCCAGAAATTGTAATGATACAAGAAACTAGACATACAGATTTGTAATATAAAAAATAAAAGTGTGACGATTTACTCTAGAAAGCTCTTCCTAATATGGAACTTCCTTGCTAAGTTTTTTTTCTGAACTCATATTGTTGGACATAAAGATGTAGACGTTTTCTGATTATTCAAAGATGATGGCAGGTACTAGTGTTGCAACTCAAGCAGTTCACAAGTAGTTTTCATCAGGCATCACAATTTATGCTGTGTCAAGTAAAAGTGCTTTCACTGCCAACATTGTGTGAATGTTTTTGTTTGCAAATAGGTTAGAGGCCTGAGTTAGATTGAGTCGTTGAATGTTCAGTCATGACAGTAAATTCTCATTTTTACCACCTTTGCCAGCGCAAAGGAATAATTTATTATTCACCGAGGCTTTAGTACATTAAAATTCCTTTTTGTTCCATTGGAACAAATTGAAAATTAATATTTTAAAAAGATCACATTGGGCACCAGACTAATAGCTTGTGGCTAACATTGAGACCAAGGTACCAGTAATTATACTTGATAACACCTGGGATTCCTTATGATTCAATTGAATGTTTGGCTATTCAGCACTTGACTAATACTCCTGTGGCTCACATTGAGACTGAGGTACCAGTGATTATACTTGATAACACCTGGGATTTCCTATGAATCAATTGAATGTTTGGCTATTCAGCACTTGACTAATACTCCTGTGGCTCACATTGAGTCTGAGGTACCAGTGATTATACTAAATGAGACCTGAGATTCGTTATGGAGCACTTGTGAGTGCTGTATTTGTACTGTATGTAATAGTTTTTGACCGCAGCACCAGGGTCAGATAAACAAGATATATTGTCATGCTTCTTATTTTGTACCCGTTTAGGGGAATATGGCACTTCTGGGGGCTCCTCCTTCAAGCTTCCGTCGGTGGAGTCCATGTTAGGCAGCGGCAACGACACCACCCTCTTTGTCGATGCCCAGGTGGTCATCGAGAAGGAGAACAGCAAAACCTGGTCCAACTCCTCAAGCGACGTGGCCGGCCAGACGGCCAAGCTGAGCTTCCGGAACGAGACGGGCGGGGCCATGGACATCAAGAACCTGCCCGAGCCCATTGAGGTCTGGGTGGAGCGGGCGGATGACCAGATGGACACCTCCACCATCGAGACCGTCTTCAACCAGACCACACCCATGACAGAGCAGGCTATCATCCATACCATCAGTGAGGAACATTTCATACTACTGTTAGCATATCAGTTCCAGCGATTTGCAATACATTGCGCCCTCAGTGTTCATCCCCAGAAAGGTCTGTTTTCGGTCCGCGAGTCGATATTGGTAACTGCATGATGCTCGACTGGCCACAACGCCTTGAGGAGTGCTGGACATCCAGCAAATATGAGATCAATGCCGGTTGAAATACTCAAACAATTTTCTATGAACTGAATTGCTTCCTCAGAGGAAATGCACAAATTTCCTAATGTCCCAATGATCCCTAACACCTTTTTTCTGTACCTTACTACATGTACGTTGCTCCTCAAAATTTTCTGTTCCTTTCCCAACCGAACCCTGTCAATCTGAGACACTGCGAATGAACCCAAGATAAAAATATCGGTCTGACACAGAGATCAACTCTAAACGGGAGTCGCTAATGGAGTTATGTAGTGTTGAGTTCTTCCTGCAAAGCAGTGTGAACTACCATTGACGCAAGCCCTCTCACAGAGGTTTACTAGCTTGGTGAATTGCTCCATTTTGCATTAACCTCAACCATACTAAACCCGACAATATCCAAGGGTGGTCACTTCCTGTGGGATTCTGTTGATGTGAGCACTGACCAAAAGACCTTTTGTATCCAGCTATTGGATTCTGTAGGGTTCATTAATCTTCACACTTTTTTAGTTGTTGGATTCGGTCGGGTTCTGCAGGATGCCTCAAAAAAAAAAAACACAAGGGGGTTAGGTTATAAGCTCCAGTTTAATCACAGTGTGCGAGCTGTAGGTGGTGGAAAAAGTGGGTCTTGCTTCTTTCGTTTTCTTAGGTTGGTTCACATTTGAATTGAACGGGATTGTCAAAATGGATATCATTCTAAGCATTTTTTTAAAAATAATTTATTTTTGATACAGTGAATGCACCCCACACCAGCATGCATCTCACTGTCAACGTCATGCCTTATAATTACACCGACGTGGACAACGTGACCTTATATCTGTACCTGCGTGTGGGCCAGGCACCCACGATTGACCTGTACGACTTCAACTGCACCCTGCCCAAACGATATGACGGCTATGAGTATGTGAACGTCTCGCTGGATGACCTGCCCGATCCCAACACTTGTTTTTTCAGTAACACACTACTGGACAGGTAATTTGACAAGAAGAAGTCAGAAGGCTCATTTCCTCCACATTTGGCTACATGGGGGCTATAAAAGCACCCCTTGTAAATTATTGGGTCAAAAGTGGACTGATTCTTACAGGCTGCAGTTTGAAATCTGCCTTTTGCTTCATGCAAAAAACCATTTGTGTTATACATCTGTAAATTTAGTGTTAGATTTGCCTTCTCAGAGAGTAGAAACATTCCTTTGGAAAAAAGTCACGAAAAGCAACATAGAGTTTCACAACTCGACACTCAAACAAAACTCAGAGTCCGAATTTCCGAATTTTACTATCTTCGAGTCAAAAATAAGGTTTCTTGGCAAATGTACCATCAACTTCTCTTCTATTCATCGTTGCTTTCCAACCATGTCGCTCTCCTTCAGTTACGGCAATGGCAGCACTGTGCCCGTCTATGTGATCATCAAGCACACTGGCGGTAACAACGAGTCCAACCCAGACTATCTGGCCAGCAGCCAGTACAATAACTTCTGGCAGATCACCTACGCCATGAGACCCTGGAGTGCCAAGTGTTCTTACTATGAAGAGGAGACAGAGGAATGGCTAAGTGATGGCTGTGAGGTACTTAAACTTAAAGTGAAAGACAAGGAATGAATTTACCTATGGCTGCACAAATTTTACTAAGCAGACCTCAGAATGGAAGCAAATAGGATCTGTCCTTACTGCCGCTTTAAGAACACTTTAAAAGCATTTTTGGTCTACGTGCCACGATGGTCATGGTTTCTTTACATAATGTGCATTTCCATGTAGGATGCGAATTGTACATGTATGTACGGTATTGTTTCTGTCTCTGTTTTATTCCCATTGATGTGCGGAAGCAGTGCACTCTACTTGGTGATGCTGAGCATTTGTGCTCATTCAGGTGAAAAATTGTTGAGTGTACTTGATGGGATTTGACACTCGGCCATCTTGCTTAGAGGGTCTCTCTGCTAAGATGCTGTGAGAAATTGGCCCATGTATATCCTAGACTCTTCTCCAGGCCGTCCTCTGTTTTGCCAGAATCAGTTTGGCTCACACATTGCCCCTGCTCCACCCCAACTTCTTGATCTGCAGGTTGGAGAGAAGACTACACTGTACAAGACCCAGTGCTTCACCACTCACCTGACAGCATTCGGAGGGGGCTTCCAGGTCCCCATCAATGACATCGATCTCTCAGACTCTGCCTTTGGCAAGCTGGATGAGAACCCACTGGTCTTCATGTTCATGACCTCCTGTCTGTGTGTGTACATGACAGTCATGCTGTGGGCGTACAAGGCTGACCAGAGGGACAAAGTTAAGGTAAACTCAATCATAGCATTTTCAAAATGAGCAATGTGCAGTCAAACACGGTTTATACGAGCTTGAAGGGACACTCCAAAACACCTCATCTTCTGGTGAACTTCATGTTCTACGTGTTGATACTTATTCCATTCATAAAGCGCAAGTCTGGCGTCATGCACTAGCAAGCATAGTTATACAGTACGGCAGTGTACTATATGATACAGTATATATGTACCAACCTTATTAATAAACTTTAAATTGTATTAATCAATATGATTTGAATGAATAAAACAAAGATTTTGAATACGCCTACTTGTTTGCGGCAACAGCAGAGAACAGTCGTGTAAGTGGCCGGCCGCACCGCGGCATGGCAAAGGACTACCTTGAAAGCAAAGGTTTATTGAACTTGAAAACCAGTTCATGCGTTTAAGGACAGGACGTAAGAGGGCATTGAAATGGGGAATTTTCAGTTGGTTTGTAGTTGGCGGTAGGGGATCTATTTTGTAAAAACGTTCTTTTAAGTTATGGAATAGGAACTTTCATTTTAATGTCATGAATCAATGTGCGACAGGGTTGTGGAAGTTTATTTTGAAAGGGGAATGTGGGACATCGGTTTACCGAAGGAAGCTAACTTAAAAAGGGTGTAGTTTTCAAAACCTATTTAAATTTTTTTTCCATTGACCATGTGGAGTCTTTGATGACAATCGTGGGTGCATATATTTTCCTCAGCATCAAAACTTCCCGTCCCATTTATGATTTTCAAGGCAGGTTCACCCATTGTTCAGTTTAGATAAAAAAAAGGCACCTCTTTCTGACCAGACCCACTGTGATTGAAATGCCTGTGATGTCGCGACATCGCGACACCCGTTGTCATCTTGAATAAAGCCCCCTCTAGAGGCACAAGGAACAGAGTCACCAAGTCACCGGTGGTAAACCACAGTGCAAATTGCCAAGCGGATGAGCATTATTGGAGGATTGCTGACGCGCTCCATCAGGATTACTAGGATTAAGCTTTTGAAGACACGTTTTCAATTGTACCCATTGTAAACATGCTATGGACAGTGGTTTTTGACACCGCGGGTTTAGGCAAAAGTGCTTGTCTTGTTCGTGTTCTCATCTCAGCACAGCTCGTATTAAGTAAGTTTTCTCACATAGGAATGTGCACATTTTAAACGGGACTGAAGAAATACGCTCGCAGTAGTTAAACGCGATCTCGTCTCATGCATGCTCATGTTAATCATGTTCGACTGTACTTTCTGGTTTCTCTGTTTGTCAGAATGTTGATGTGTAATGATTGGTTGTGACAAATGGTGGTGATCTTACAAAGTTGCTTTAAAGGACAAGAGTTCAGTCTGTCTAGTTAATTTTAAATCTGCATGATCTCTATCTTCCAAGGAGTTTAGCAGTGATGTAGTGGAGTCTGTATCAACAAGCCCACCATAAGCCATTCAGTCACAAATTATCCCAAGGCTTTTTAATAGACCCTGACGAAAGTATCATACACCCTCTCACTTGCAGCCTGTCTTATGCGACGACTTGTGACTGTACTCATGAGTAGTGGAATTTGGTTCAGGAGCCCTACCGATTCCTCCCGTGATGCAGCAACTCAATTACCTTACACTCATTGTACTTGAACATTTGAGATGCTTCAAGCCCCATCAAACTGACAGTGGCTGGGCTCTACTTTTCTCAATCTGGCAACTTTCTCTGGAGTGGATTCTAATTGGTCTTGAAGGCTGCCGTTTGGCCCTGCAAGAATATCTTTGGAGAAGATTTTTCTCGGATGAGAGTGGAGGCATTTTGTTCAATATCTGCATGCTCTTGTCTCCTTTTGTTTCTCAGGCTGGAGCCACCCCACTAGCTGACAACGACCCGAGGGACCATTACATGTATGAGATCACTGTCTTCACTGGAGTGCGAGCCAGTTCAAGTGAGTTCAGACACTACCCCCCCCCAAAAAAAACCCATTTCTGTCCCTCCAGTCAATCCTTCCTTGATGATCTGTGGCATTGGATTTAAAACATAGAGAGCAGTGGTAGGTCAGTAATTAGCCTAATTTGCAGGATGGGTTAAACTTTCTTCTTTCTGGGCCTTTCATCGTGCGCACAATGAACATCCAGAAATTAATAAGCCAAACTTTTGGAGGCCAGCATGCTCGGGACAGTGCAGAATAGATGTCTTATTTGACCCAACCTATCCAATTGAGTCATAAGTTGCCAGAGTCACTTTTTGAGTTGAAGGCCTTTAGAGAATCTGACGCAATTAAAATCCATAATAATCAACATCCTCCGCCCGCATAATGTTCATTTTCTCTAGGATGCCAAACTGAGTGATGTATCAAAATAAAGTGAGCTCAGACAGATCCCTCTTCTGCAACCGAGAACAAAAATATTGAAAAATGACTTTAAGACTTATTTTGTGGGATCACAAGCTGAAGAGCAAAATTTCAGATACACCGAGCAGGTTAGAGACCTTCATAGTGGTCTGATTACTCAGTACTACATTGATACAATGACTGAGATTTCATAACTCATGACCACTGAGGAATTCAGTTAAATGTTATGCTCATATTGCCTTGACCAGACACCACGGCTAAAGTGTCGCTGATCATCACCGGCGACGCAGAGGAATCTCGGCCCCGCCTCCTGGATGACCCTGCCCGCAAGGTCTTCCAGGTGGGTGGCATTGACACCTTCTTGCTGGCCGCTCCCCGCTCACTGGGCAACTTACAGCACCTCCGTGTCTGGCACGACAACACGGGCAAGGCAGCCAGCTGGTACCTGAGCCGCATCGCCATCAAGGACCTGCAGACCGACAAGATGTACTACTTCATGCTGGACCGCTGGCTGGCCGTTGAGGAGGACGACGGACAGGTAAAGTCCACCCAGCCTCTAACGCACACAGTGCTCCTCATCACAGATACTGGCTAAGCAATGAAAATATCTCCTTAGCAATAGCTGGTTACCAGCCAAAACGGCATGCACTGCATACTTCTTGTGACTGGTACGTGGCAGATTTTTGTTTAGCATATAGGTTTGCCAAGCCACAGTTTTGGCTCCATGAATGTGAGACCGGGAGTCTGGGCTTGAAACCTTGCTCTCTGTTGGCAAGGAAAATGAGTCTGATGATTCCTATTTGGAATTCAAACAGTTCGGCCCTTGACTAGTAAAGAATTACTTGTGACTGATTGATGAAGTCCTGATTAACTTGATGAAATCTTTAAAGATTATTGTCACCACAGCTTTCTTCTTCCCCTGAAACTACTGATTGAATGTTTTTTGAGCCAGGAGAGGGTGCTTAGGGCTACATCTTCCCTTTCACTCATAAATAAGGAAGTTTGGTAGAGGAATTTGTTGCAGAATGACTTGTGACGGACTGATTAACTTCAACAACTGACTCAATTGCAACTCTGGGTTTATATACAAAAGAGTTTATTCCATGATGTCTTCAAAGATTTTTCTTCACTAAGAACCACAGGATTAAATTATAGAGGTTAAAGGAGTGAATGGATTAAGATAAAGACTCTTAAATAAAGGGGAAATTTGGCACTGGACTATGTTACAGATTGAGCGTGTAATCCCAGTTGCTGGCAAGAGTGAGCTGACCAGCTTTGGCTTCCTGTTCTACTCCAAGACCCGCCGCAATCTCAGCGACGGCCACTTGTGGTTCTCTGTCTTTGCCCGGCCTGCCCGCAGCAGCTTCACCCGCATGATGCGTTGCACCTGCTGCCTGTCGCTGCTCTTCTCCACCATGATGTCCAACATCTTCTTCTACAATGTGGATGTGACAGGGGGCAGCAGCGGCGGCAGCTTTGTACTTGGCCCCATCAGCGTCTCGGTGGGCGAGATCTGTGTTGGCGTCATCAGCAGCCTGATGGTCATGCCTGCCAACCTCATCATCGTCCAGATGTTCCGGCTGTCCAAGCCCATCCCGGACAAGATCAACTGGTTCTCCTGGTTCCGGAAGAAGAAGCCCGGGGAGGGAGAGAAGTCCACCGAGGAGGTGGAGCGTGACAAGACGGAGAGGATGGACGAGAAGGCCGCCTCAGAGCTGGAGAAGCAGCTGGAGTTCCTCAACACGGGCGACAACGGAAAGCGGCTCCTGAAGTCGGCACGTAGCCGGACCGTACGGTTCGCTGATGAGGCCGAGAGCAGCCAGGAAGTGAAAGATGCCAGCGGCCCGGAGACCACGGCTGGCAGCAGCACAGACAGCGAAGGGATGAAGCTGGTGGCTGGGGTCAAGACCAGGAAGAAGAAGCCCAAGTTCATGCTGCCCTGGGGCTGCCAGTTCATTGGGTGGACGGTGGCAGTGGGCACGGTGGGCGTCTCCTTCTGGCTGACGATTGAGGTGGCGGGTCAGTTTGGACCTGAGAAGGCCGCCGAGTGGCTTTCCTCCATGGCCTGCTCTCTCGTCCAAGACATCTTTTTCTCCCAGCCCATCAAGGTTTGCCTTCAAGTTTTCCTTTTGGTAGTATCATAAATGATAAATAGATGAATTTTCAAACTCTTTGTCTTGTGCAAATTACAGTAAAAGGTACCGGCCACTTGAAATGTGTGTCGTTGATTACTTCCCTATAACCTGATTGCAATAATAAATCAGCAACCTGATTAAACCATGAACGGTTTTTGTCTTCAAATTAGATTTCATTCCGGTTTGCAGAAAAAGGTTAGCAGGATAAAGAGCCAGATTGAGAATTGCCAGCTATTTTGGTTGAGAAAGGAGACTTGTTTCATCAAAACTCCACTAATATGCTGAAGGCTATTAACTTACATGTTGGTTGGGTTTTGAATACCTGAGGTCAAAGACCAATTGTGCTCTCGTCTATAGGTGCTGTGCCTGGCCACGTTTTACGCCCTTGTCATCAAGCGTCCGGACAAGGAGGACGACCAGCCCTCCACCCCGCACCTCAAGTCGGACGAGGAGTACCTGCACGAGCGGCTGACAGAGGAAGAACTAAAGGACCCAGAGAAGCTGGCTCAGCTGGAACGCCAGAAGCAGGCCTGTCCAATTAAGCCACCAGATACCGATGAATTGAATGAGGCCAGAGAAACCAGGTACAGCAGAAATACTGAAACTATAAATGTAAATGAAAAGGTATTTAAAAAAACAGATGTTTCATCGTCGGAGGAAAGGCTAACTTCAGCGGACCTTTTCTCATTGTAGTCATTAATACTTAATGTTGCACATCACTGAAAGTTTGACATAACTGAGTATTGTACAGTACTGAATGTGGTATATTTCTGCATGTGTTATATTATTGCATGTTGTACATTACTAAGTGTTGCACATTTAACAACTGTTAACTACTGTGATATGGGATATGATGTTTTGAGGGTGTTCAAAATGTCATAACCCACATTACAGCTGTCAACAATTGCTTTGTAATGTCTCTTTCTTAGCGATATTTCTTTATTTTTCTGAGAGAAATAAAGGGTGACAAAGGAATGAGTGTGACATGCGGTTATGTGGCCCAGTCATGTTTGTCACTCTGGGCTAATGAAAAAAAAAAATCAAACAGTATTCTAGACAGAGGTACGTCAATACTGCATATTGTACATTCCTGAGAAATTACAGACAAAGGGCCTGGTGATACAATCCTAGATTCCTTTTGCCCTTGAGAAAGCTTCTGCTGGAATTCTATTGTCAGGCCTGCTAATTTTTTTCTTCATTGGCATCTTTCATGTCACTGCAGTCAGCAAGATGTTTGTAACAGCTTTTGTATTTCACATTTAAAAAGTGCAACTCTGAGAACCGAAACTCTCAAAATGATACACAAGGCCATATGACCCTGGCCCGTAATAACCACCCTAACGTTTTTGGCAATGAATCATTGCGTTTTTGTGCATTGTCCAGATTCAAAGAGATCAAGATGCAGGCCATTTTGAAGGAGATTGCCGTGTACATGTTCTACCTCTACATCCTCCTCTTGATTGGTTACGGCAACAAGGATCCCAGCAGCCATGCCGTCTACACATCTGTCCACAACACCTTCATAAATGCGCAGTACTATGGGACTACGCCTCTCTCTTCCGTAAGTCTGCCATGCCGAATACAGTCATTTGCACAAAAGTTTAAGACCACATGGAATTTTATTGGTATTTCTGTCACTGGGCCTGCATTACATTGTCTCACTGACTGATTACTTAACATGATTTTACAGTGGTGCATAACATCAGTGCAGTGCTATATACCCATTTGAATGAATATTTTTTACAAAGGCAGGTCTTGTGTGGCATGCATTTTGTCTGTAAGGCAGCATGGGAAAAAAACCAGTCTAAGAAATCAGAAATAAAGCAGGGCACACTAAATATTACACTTAATATTTCAAATCATGGAAGTGTAATCAAATAGCTGTATAACCAAGACACTAAGGTTAGACATTGAAAATAAACCTAAGTTGCCATGATTGATTGGCCTAAGTTTGGTTTTTCATCAAGTTAATGCATTTTGGATGGGTTGTAAAGTTTTGCAAATGGCTGTATTGTCTGTTAACAGCCAGGCTTTGTGCAAACGCATGGGCTGTGCATAGCAACTGTGATTTATGTAGAGCTCTGGCATACGAAGAACATACGTTACACTGCTTCCTCACTGTGTCCATCACCGGCAAAGAAAACACAAATAATTGGGCGCATTCCATGTTTAATTCTTGCAGTCTCTGACTGCGGTCGCCACAAGTCACCAGGGTAGAATGCTAGACTTCTATTCTGAAATGCAAATCCACAATTCCATCATTGAAGTTTTGTTTAAACGCAGGTTTCGAGTCGACAGCTGTTTTGGAAGCACATGAGGGAAGTCTTTGTCCCGTCGCTGTACGCGGGCAATCACTACAACGACGAGCTTGATGACGACTCCTTCCAACAGAAATACGTCGCCGATCGCGCACATGTGCTCCTGGGCACGGCTAGGCTGAGACAAGTCCGAGTTTACACCAGTGAGTTCTTCCATGGAATTGTTTTCTTGGTTGGGTTTCTGTCTCTTTTCACTCGTAAAGAAAGGAAACAAACTGTCAGGCGCATCAAGGCTTTTTATGATGGGGTTGGGTACATCTGCAAGTTACACTTTACCTGAGACCTACATATCATGTATTGTGAAAGAAAGACTTCAGTCTTCCTTTATGCAATTCGGGTAGACCAACCGGGCCCCACCCATCTTGCAAATGGGAGGCAAAATGTGCATGTCTTGCATTAAAATCAAATTTTAGTTGATCGTACATATGAGTGGCACAGTTTCAGGCGTGACTGGTTAGTCGTCCGTCATGGGCTATGCCTTAATGGTGAGTTTATTGGAACCTTGCCAGAGAACAAAAAGCTGTCATGAGGATCTGTTCTCATTATGCCTACTCAACGTAATCGAGATAAGTCAAAAGTCACCAGAGCCCCTTTTGAGTATTGAGATCCTTCACCCGCATCAAATCTGGCGTCTTCTGGAAGTCAAACTAAATGATGCTTAAAAACAAAAAGCTCGGGCTGCTCTCTAATAGAAGCCACAGTAAGTTGATTGATACAAATGGTCTTCAGACTCATTTTGTTAGACTTTGACTATTCCTTCAAACAACTGAATTGGAAATTCCCCTCGTATGTACCTTTCATTCTAATATTTGATAGGCTTCTTGGCTACCAGTCACCTATTTTATACCTCTCAAAGCTTCCTGTACCGGGTACAAGTAAGCAACTTCATATCGGCTTCTGTTTTGGGCATCTATTTTTTTTAAATACTTCAGATTCCTGCAAGGTGGAAGAGGTCATGAGAGTGACGATTGACCACTGCATAGATGAATACTCGGCCGCTGACGATGTGGAAATATCGTATGATGAAGGGTGGCAGCCGGTCAACGAGACAAGTAAGATGGAAGATGCCTGGAATGAAACAATGTTTACAAATGGCTTTACCGTCAGCAACATTTCCAAATGAGCAAATCACAAATCAGGTTACAATTGACCATGCAGTTGGCTTGTGATTGACTTTAGATGAGTCACTTTAATTATACTTGTACCTCAGATAACAGAGAATGGACTGTTACAAAGGACTGCCGTTATCTTAGTTCATATGAGTAGGTTGGGACTTGATTTTGGATTGGACCTATGATGTGACATATAATTTGACACTGAACGGCTCAATCACATCTTTGATGTAGGGATTAATCTTGATCGTAGCTCTCTCAGAGTGTTGCGGTCCAAAAACAGGTGTCACTAATCTTTGACACCAAATTCAGGTTTGTCCCTCAAAGACGGCATGCCAGTATCTCTAGAAGTTTTGTGCATCAGACATTTTGTTTGTCAGAAAGTTTATTGGTTTGTAGACATCGTCATGGAAGTTTTCTTTGTATGGGCCTTTGGCAGCTGAGATCAGTCTGAGACTGACCATAAAGACAACAGTTAGGGGGGCTGTTGACATCTTTACTTGTTAGCCTCCTTGACCCTCGACGAAATGAAGTCCCTCTTTGTGACGACATGAATTCTTTCTGACCAGCTCCGCCGGACTACGATTCCTCGCCGATGCTGGGCGTCTGGAAATATCGCGACTGGCTGGAGCTGGACTCCTACCCGGCCTTTGCCCACCAGAACAGCTACTACGGCGGGGGTTTTACGGTGGAGTTTGGCACGGACATCCTGGCTGACATGGAGATGATCGACTACCTCCAGCAGAACTTGTGGGTGGACCAGCAGACCAGGGCCATCTTCCTGGAGTACGTGGTGTACAACCCGGTGACCAACACCCACGTGGTGTCGCTCAATGTGCTGGAATTCCCACCCACTGGTGGTAAGGCTTTGTCCTGTGGGCTGAACGTGGCCCCAGTATCTCACATGCAAAGATAAAGAAATCAACTCATAACCCCTGTCAAACTGTTGCTAAGGTGTGGAAGGGTAATGTCTGTTACAAATTAAGACAAAGGTTTTGAAAAGTTCAAACTTGCATTCTTACAACTTCACAGGAGTGATATATGTAGCATAAAGCATTTACTATTTGAAACAGAATTTGCATAGAATATTTACTGTTTGAAGGATTATGGACAAAACATTCTCATCCGTGGACTCTAGTATTCATGGCAATTTCACAAATCCTTATTTCATCAGACCATGAGCCCCGAGCGAGACCAATTTTCTCATGAAATAAGGATTTTTCCTAGCAACAGAGGCTCCTTTGGTGGGAACTGCACTTTGCTGGTTCACATGCGAGTGTGAAATGCATGCATTATGGTCGCATCACTACCGAAAGAACGAAAACTCCCCACCAGCATGGCTTTTTTTCAACTGATGAAAGGGTGCTTCTGCTCAAACCATATTAAATAAATTGTTTACAGTTCTGTGTTGTCTGTTATTGGACAGTCGAGATCTGAAGAGAAGACCATGTCTCAAGAAAGTAAATATTATCTTCACAGCAGCCAGCTTTGGTTGGCTGTGAGCAGCTTGACGAGGGTTGTCTTTCCAAGCTTCCTGCTTGAAATCATGCCATTTGAATCTTTCTCTATTCTGGTCGCTAGGCGTATTTCCCTTCATCCGATTCCAAACGATGACGCTGGATCACTACTACGGGACCTTTGCTTACTTTGTGCTGGCCGCCGAAGTCATCTTTGCCCTGCTCTTGCTCTTCTACGTCGTGCGGGAGGCAGCCAAGATCAAGAAGCAAAAGAAACAGTACTTCAAAGATCTTTGGAATATTTATGAGGTAGAGCGTTGTGCTTTTTACGAAAGCGAGTGTCACCCTGACGCAGATTTAGGGTTCCTGTACGTTGCTGTGTCCTTACTAGCTCGTGTCCTTGTTTCTGTAATCTTGTTGGTTTAGAGCAGTCCTGTGTGTGACATGATTTATGTACATGCCCTATGCACCATTTGCATTTGTAATGGCTCACAGTGCACACAACTCATGGGCTGGTGTGAGATGTTGCCAGTACCATCTCTACTCCAATTGTAACTGCACTCATGTGACGTAAAAGCCCTCCCACAGAAGGGAAATTGTCAAAGATTATTCAGAGACTAATACAAAGTTTGTCCCAAACAACATTCTCTGTCAGTAATTGGTAATAATAGCTAACCAGAAATTTGAAACGTTGGAATTTGAGAACTAAAAAGTGGAACAGTTTATTAAACCTTTTTTAAAATTTGACTGTGGTCAAACTTTACCAGGGAACAGAGTTGTAGACTCGAGTCACTTGACTTGGACTCGAGTAGCTGTGTTTGTGACCCGTGATTTAACTTGTAACAATCAGTGTTGACTTGTGACTTGACTTATACCTGCAAAAGTTGACTTGTTACCGCCAAAGAGCACAAGCACCTCAAACTGAAATGCCTGAAGGACCCTGAGAGAGGGAGGATGGAGAAGTGGGAGGGAAAGCCTTGAAAAGATACTTATTTTATGAGGAATACACAGAATAAGACGGCCATTGAAATCTCCAAATTTGGGTGGAATTCGAACCTGGGTCACAGCGATGGAGGTTTGGAGGGCACCGCTATGGCAACCTGCTATTAATTTCTCAGGTTAGACCAAACCAAACCAAGGAGAATAGACTGGTGCCTATCCAAGACTCCTTTATTGTTGCATCAATTAAGTGTCCAAAAGGAATATGTTTAATCTCTCTTTATGCATATTCCTGTGATAGTTAAGGTCACCAGACTACGGAAGAGTCAGTCTTATAAACAGTTGGACAAGTACCAGTCTAGACTCAGGCCTCAATTGAAATCACTTGGGTTCTCTTTCAGCTGCAGATTGTTTGGGAAAAGTTGCCTTAAGAAATTGAATCGAAACGTCGAACTTGACATTTGAAATGGTGAAGACCTTTTCTTCACTTCATAAACAGTTAGGGGAAATTTGTCCGCTGAATAGTGAGAAGGTTGGCATAAGTTTATTGCGCATGTTTTTCTGCATGCATGATGTCAGTCCGGATCAGCTCCTCATAGGAATAGCCATTTTTTCCCCTTGTTTTGTTCAGGTCATCACTGATGGGCTTGCTGTGGGTGCCATTGTGGCTTACCTCTATCGACTCTTGCAGGCCAACGAGCTCACGGCAGAGATCCAGGCTGCCCCGACACAGTTCCACAACTTCCAGTTCTTGGCTTACTGGGATGATGTAAGTTTGAACCTCCAATTGTCTGGAGACATGCAAAACAGCTGGGAAATTGTTAAAATTTCTAGAAGGTGTGCTGGTACAGAAATGTAAATATTGGGAGATGTTTTGACCCTTCAGAGACATAAAGTATCGCATCTGATCAGTTGTACCTCGTAGCTTGAAAAGGAAATTAGCTTATGCAGGGTTCAACTCTCAGCCAAGTAAACTGGGAACATTTTCTCTCAAACTTTCTGACGGCACTAACTATACATGGTGCTAGTGAACGTTAGTCCGTTATTGGCAAAACGTTAACTTCAAGTATAAACACAGTCAGTGATTCCAATTCTTGTTCCTCATTTTTGAAAAAAATTTGAGACTGGCTTTTCGATTGCCGCCCACAGATATACGTAACCATGGTGACTTTGTGTTTATTTATGGCCGTCATCAAGTTCACCCGACTGCTGAGATTCAACATTAAGATACTGATGTTGTCGGAGACAGTCAATGTAAGTATGTCTCTCTCTGTCGTCACATGCAAACTGTCAATATGGTGACTAGTCAGCACTTTGGGCTTTTAGCTGCTTGAGAGCAAGGGGGCTTTGTTGCCTAGCATCAGCATTCCTAGAAGCTGACATATTGAATGCAGGACTGGCTCATCAAATAGGCACGGTAGACAGTTTAAGGCTCCATGCCAAGGACCCATGAAAGATTTAAGATTTGCAAAATAATCACTCACCCATGACAAAAATGTTTCAGCATGTATTTCTTTTCAAAATTTGTTATTTTTGAAAAATGTTAAACTGGTTTGTTTGCCGCATACTCCAGCTTAGCTACCAATGCAAAATGTAAGACGCCAGATCCAGTGAACAGTCTGAAATTTATTCTTGTACCTAGAGTAGGGCCTTCACAATGGTGGGGTTTTTGGCCTTCAAAACACTTTATTTAGCTCTGTAAGGTGATTAGATGGTGTGGCACTGAGTGTGCACATTGGATACTTCATTTCTGCCTGAAACCTGTTGGGTTTGTGCTTTGGTGCCGTTGTACATTGGCAGTAAGTGGTGTTTAACTCGGCCAGTTTTTGTCTAACTGCTTACAATCCGACAGGGTGCTCTCATGGGTGCCTTGTGCACATTGGCAGCGATTTCAGCCCAGTTTGTCTTTTCAGTCCGAGTTCTTAAAATCCCCAGTTTTTCAACTGAATGCACACGAAAGTCACGGCATCCATTGCAGGTGAATGCCCTTCCGAGCTGGCTCGCTGCAGTGGTGTTTGTTTCCCCTACCTCTGTTTCTTTTCCGCCACTGAGCAGGCTTGTTTTTTTCCTTGCAGGAATTTGCATATGAGCTGTCCCTGTTCATGGTCATGTTTGCGGTGGTTTACATGGGCTACGCCAGCTTCTGTTTCTTGGTCTTCTATCAGCTCCACGACTTCAGCAGCTTCCTGCGGACCCTGGAATCCCTCTTTGGCACCTTACTGGGTAAGAATATCCCATTGCCGTGCAATGCCGAACATGAACTGATAACTTCTGGGCAACGAGCAGTGACACATAAAGGTCGAGGAGGGCACTTGAACAGCAAGAGCTAGTCTTGCATGGAGACAGTACACCCAATGTTTATGTCTTTATTACATTTGTAATCTTTGTTATACTCAACATCGGTTGAGACCATCACAGGATCCCACAAGTCCAACTCAAGTCTGAGCTATTCAAACAAACTGCAACAAAAGCATACATTCCTTTGTTAGTCCTCACCTTGCTACTTGTGACTGGCCGTGTGTCTGGTCGTGTGAGGGTCTTAACTACCACACTGCACGTAATGTGGCAATTCTGAACTGAGATATTGTTGCCTACTCACTCAACATTTCTCATACTTGCAGGCAAGTTCTCCTTTGAGGATCTGGTGAGTGCAGATCCCATCATGGGCCCCATCTTCTTCTTTTCGTATGTCATGGTGGTCATGTGGACGCTCATCAACATGCTGTTGGCCATCATCTGTGAGGCCTTCGCAAAGGTAGGACACAAGATGGAGATTTTTAGTCATCTTGTTGTGGGGAGAGTCTGAGCTGAGCGTGAGGCTGATGTTATGTGAAAATGTTGTAGCCTCCACCTCCTTCAGGGAATAGTCCCTAGTAAAAGTTCGTTGATTTTCTGTCGCTTGATAAGGGTGCACTTTGTACAGGTGCAGCAGAGCCCTGTATAGAGAGTGTTGCGACACAGGGCGCGTTCGATCATTGACCACTTGTTAACAAGTGCTTAATTTGTGACGCACCTTATGCACGTGCCGTCAAGTTGAAGTGCGAATGACCCTAGTCAACCGTTGTCAGGTCATTAGGCCGAAGGGGAGAAAAGGTGGCCACAGGAAGGGCAAAACAACACCGCCCTCACTCTTGAGATTTATCCCTGTGTCATAGTGTCAACTATCAGAGCACAGAGTCCGCCAAAGAAAAAAGGTCATGCACGGAATCTTAAACTGTTGTCACAAAACCAGTGATGTAGTCGAGTACTTTTTG